GCAAAAAATTCCAGATTACAAATTATATCCGTAGCAAGAGTGATACAAATTGTTTCCTCCAGAGCACAATGTCATCTGTCCATTGCAATGACAGTTTACAAATTCAAAATCGGTCTGGAGTCGGTCGATAACGGACGATTACGCCACTGTTTATGTTCGTTCGCGCAGTTTTCGATGAGTCATATCATTCTTAACTTGAACGGAAATGAAATTTGTTACAACGTTGCACTTAGTCTTTCATATTTGTTGTTAGTAATTTAAAAGACATTTTGAAACACATACGGAACGATAACAATTTTTAAAAATATATTAACACAAAAATGAAAAGGGAACTCGGGTACATTTATCGAGAGCCACAAATAATCCTTCAAAGAGCCGCATGTGGCTCGCGAGCCACAGGTTGGCCACCCCTGGAATAGAGTATGATGTGATGAAAAAATATCTCAATTTGTTACAGAGCTTTGTTTGTAATAGGTAACTCTCACCAGTGCTTTACTGTGCTTAATATGTGTTTACCTACTATCACTAAACAAATTGGTGTAAACATCTTTCACCATCAGACTTGAAAGCATCATCTGATATTTGTAGATTTCAACAAGTTTTTATTCCTGACTAAGTCTGTGCAGCAGCATTAGAAATTGTAAGCCACAAGAACACTAGTCATTTGCAAGTTGCTCTTCGGTCATTCATGAGTTCTCAAGTCACTCTCCAGCCATCCTTCATTCAGTAAAGATATAACTGCTGGCACTACTAGCTATCAATGTCAGAATCTGTTCAATGGCAATGTCAGCATTTATGCAACATAAGTAATCTAATCTTGCAAAAAAAAAAAAAAAAAAAAACTTTATTTACTCAAATTTACAACTAGTTCTTTTCCAATATAAGTATTTTGTTTTAAAGACATGCTAAAATTTGTGAATTATACATGAAAAAAGTTTATAAAAATGAATACTTGAAATGTTTTAATTCGTTTTTTCCCAAAACATAATGATAATTACTGCTTGTTAGTCAGCACTTTATTTATCAAATTACACTAAAATTTTAAAAATTGCCATTATATTATCTATAAGAATAATTGATCTTAGAAATTTTTTGTTATTCCTCATGTCACTAACACAGTATTGAATTTTGGCTAATTCTAAGAATTCGTCCTTCCTTTGCTTTCTTTCCTTCTTAATATGGAGTGAGTGGAGGCATTTAATTCTAAAATGTTTCATCAAAATTGTTTGATAATTTTTTATTTGTGAAAAAATAGGAATACATTAAATTAATTTATTTTTAGTAACTATTGTTCTAAATTTTTAGCATGACATTTTCCACAAAAATAGTTTATATTTTTTAAAATGTTTATTACTCCTGGAAGAAGAATTAAGTATTTACATGGATTGGGGAAACTAGTAGTATTGTGTTATAACTTCTAATTTCCAGACGACAAAAGAAAAAATAATAGATTAACTTTTGCTATCATGAAGCTAACCATAATCTAATCCCACAAGTTACAACATTATCATGGTTTAGAATTTAGCTACTAATATGCCAAAAATTCCACTTTAGGGGCTGCCCATAAATTGTGTACATTTTTCTTGAAATTTTTACTCTCCCTCCTTCCATTGTCCCAGTTTGTCCAATTTTCTGTAGTATCCTCTCCTCTTCAGATGTCCAACAAAACTCAGCCCTCCTCAAAACCTTTATCACTTTATGAATAATAAAATGTATAAACTGTATAAAATTTAATGAAATAAAATGGACGGCTACTGAAGTTAAACCCCTCTCCTCCTCTTTGTCTGACTTGTCATAACCCCCTCCCTTCCAGTGTTGACATCATTTATAGACAGCTTTTTATTTAGATTATGTTAAGCAGTTAGTTTCCAAAAATCATCTCTTTCCATGTCAGTGGAAATGGATGAGTTTTAGTTATGTGGCAGGTCAAATTGGCCCTAGGTCAGGATGTCTGACACCATCTTTGACTTTTGGCTCACAGGCCGATTTCATGTTTAAAGAGTTAAAAGGAATTTTGAGTTCATTTGAATGTCTGTTTTCCCAAGCACTTTGAGCAACCAAGCCTGTTGTCTGGAAAGACACAAATAAATCAGCATGATAGCTAAGTTACATATGAAGAATGAAATAATTTTATTATTAGGTGGTAGGATAGTTAGGAATGAGTGCCAATGGTCTTAGATTATACACCATCCAGATGTTATGTAAAAAAAATTTTGATGACTTATTTACCAAGCTGATAAATGAGCATACTGTCATGTAACAGAGACCAGAACAGTCGTACATGCTGTAGCAGATTGTGGAAGACAGCAGTGCGTTTGCACACTGGAAATAGAAGAAATCCTACAGCATGTTGCTATAGCACTGATGTCATGAGGGAAGTAACAGCTGAAAACACTAGTGCATAACACTCATATTGATAGGGCAGACAAGCTGCTGTGACACGTTGTTGACACATGTTACACTTTTTACAGTTGGTCTGGAAACTTCAAAAATGTGTAGCATTCTATGTTTTGATATCTCCCCACATAGATGCATGTGGAAGGCATTTTGAACATTTCTTACAAAGACAGCTATGTAATTGAGTGAGCTATGTAATAAAATCTATCTTATACTTTTCTGCTTTCTCAAAAACTGTCCATTTCCAAACATAAATATGCCTTTTTATTCTTTATTTCCCCGTGAGGAATCATCTCCGAAGTTTGTCACCTATTTCAGAACACCCAATCTAATAATAAAACTTTAAAATAAATATAATAATGTGCAATTTAGATTAATTAACAGAACAAAGTTCCAATTAAAATAAAATATATTTTTGTTTCTAATTTATTTATTATAATATAATTGTAAAAAGAAATTAATATCCATTTAAAATCATTATTATTTGCTAAATTTAAATTTTTATTTGCAGAAATGTAACCCTTGATTCATTGGCAATACCAGATACTTACTGTTCAATGACCTCAAACACTGGATATAAATGTCCAAATGGAATGGTTTGCATGGAAATTGATCTTCCCAAAAATATATCTGGATTCAATGGTTTTGATGATTTTGGTAATCTCATAATTTTTTTTAATAAATAAAAAATTTTCTTTTATTTAAATGGCTAACAATAAATATTTTGTGCTTTATAGCACATAGTTTTTTCACTGTTTATCAAGCTGCATCACAAGAAGGTTGGGCATTATTAATGTATAAAGCAATGGATAGTTTACCAGCATGGAGAGCAACCTTTTATTTTACAACCATGATATTTTTCCTGGCATGGCTTGTCAAGGTTTTACAATCAAAATTTTATCTAATTAATTATTCTTTAAGAAAGATTGATTAATTTTAAATATAAACTAAATAATTTTTTAAAAAATTTATTAGAATGTTTTCATAGCCGTAATTACTGAAACATTTAATGAAATTAGAGTACAGTTTCAACAAATGTGGGGGGAAAGAGGTAGAATTACAACTGAAACAACACCTCAGGTAATTATTACTATAAATTTTGGAGATTATCTAATTAATATATTAACTTAATTTATTATTATTTTTAAGTTTACTAAGTTTTATTTATTAGATTTTAAGAGGAGATGATACAGGCTGGAGATTAGTTACAATTGATGAGAATAAGGGAAGAGGTAAAGCACCACATTGTTTTCAAATATTTCTTCAGTCTGCTCTCTTTCAAGTTATTGTTATGGTAGTTAACGTTGCAAATGCCATTGTGGCTGCAAGTATTTCATTTGAACACGATGGACGTCCAAGACGACAATTTTATGAGAAGTATTATCTAGCTGAAGTATGTGTTCTTTGATGTTTCATAAATAAATATCCAATTCAAATATTTTTCAAAAATAACAAATCCTTATTTAAATTTTTTTTTAAACTTTTTAAGGTTGGTTTTACCATTTTCTTTGATTTGGAAGTTTTATTTAAAATATGGTGTCTTGGTTTGCATGGCTATTATCAAAGATCATTACACAAGTTTGAATTATTATTAGCAATTGGTACAACTTTACATGCAATACCATCTCTTTACATGTCTGAATTAGCTTATTTTCAGGTATAAAATTTTTTTATTGTTAAATTCCAAAATATATAAACTATTTTTCTTACTTGTTTTGAAATTTAATTATGTATTACAGGTATTGAGAATTGTACGTTTAATTAAAGCTTCTCCTGTATTAGAAGATTTTGTATATAAGGTACTAAACACGGATTATTTAAAAATATATATTTTCAATTTATTAATTTGAATAAATTTTTATAGATTTTTGGACCTGGAAAGAAATTAGGAAGTCTTATAATATTCACCATGTGTCTATTAATTATTACTTCAAGTATAAGTATGCAACTTTTTTGTTCTTTGGCTGATTTTAATAAATTTGAAGCATTTCCTGAGGTAAAATACATATGTAAAAGAATTTTAATTTAGCAGAATATTTTAAATATTATATATTATTCAATAAAAAAAATTAATATAATAATCTTAGCTTGAAAAAAGTATTGAGTGACTTTTATTTGGCACTCAAAAATAATTGTATAAATTAAAATATGTAACAAATATTTAAATATAAGATATAATGCCTAATTACACTAAAGCTGTTTAATAGAATATACAAATATTATTATATGAAAATATGATTTATCTTTATGTATTCAATTTAGAGTAAGCTTGCAGATATAAAATTTATTGTTCAAACAGTAACACAAAATTTATTTAGTGTGCATTTGTCAAAATTGTCCAAGTTACCATTGATTTATAGTAATTTACTTTGGCTTTTTTAATAATTAATTAATTGAAGAAACAATAATTTAAGAAAGTAGACTTTAACTTCTCACATATCTATTTAAGGAAATAATTTTTAAATAAATGTATAATCTTCATAAATCAATTATTAATTTACAGGCTTTTATGTCAATGTTTCAAATATTGACTCAAGAAGGATGGGGTGAAGTAATGAATGAAACAATGCTTCGTACAAGTAAAACAATTGGTCCTTTAGTTGCAATATATTTTATTTTATATCATCTTTTTGTAACATTGGTAAATATGTACTTCTTGATAATTATTCTGTATTATTTCAAATCAATGTTTTAAAATTGAACTAAGTAAACTACATTTATATTTAACAGATTGTGCTCAGTTTATTTGTAGCTGTAATCTTAGATAATTTAGAACTTGATGAAGATATTAAAAAAGTTAAACAAGTATGTATTTAATGGCAAGAAAATTTTGTATATGATTAAATAGATTTTTTACATAACAATTAATTTTTTTCAAATAAGAAAGATGTAATAAAGTTAGAACAATATCAAGTTTAATTTCAGACAATTAAATACAATAAAACATTAAAAGTTGCAATTCAAATAATGTATATAAAGTAATAATCTGGTATCAAATAATCTGGTAGTTAAATATCAGTAGAAATATTTATTTAAAATAATAAGTTTATTGAAGTATACACTTGTCTATTATATACACTATAATCTTAAAAATCTTAAAATATTGGGTTTATGCAAAAGTTTCTGGAATTTTTATATACTCTTTATGATTATCACTCATCGTAGACTGCATTTCTTACCAATTAAACACACTCAGAATACTTTTTAAATGTGCAGCCGTATTTATAAATTCTAACGTTTTCGGTCATATTTAATTACTTTTATCAAGAATAAAAACAGAAAAAATTGAACTCTGAGAAAATTTGAATTAACGATACATGCATTTTGGAACGTTTTTAAAAGGATATTCTACGGTAATAAAGAGCGCTATCTCTACATAAAGGCTGTTATTATATAACCACAGTAGCTATTAGAATGGTAAAAAATAATATGACGTTCAGGATATAAAATAACAATAAAAATAACAATAAAAAAAATACAAACAGACATAAAGTACCAAACATAAAGAATGTGTTGAGCAAATACATTAACTTAAGGGTTCTACCCTTAAGAATGTTGCCGCTTTGCCACTGTTCTTGACGCTTATAATATACTTGATCACCAGGCTGCCAATACTTTGCTTGCATCTCAGAAGTTGATAGCTAGTCCTTTTTGGCTGGTTTTGCAGATATTCCAAGCTTCAGCATACCAGAGGTGCTTTTTGTTGCAAACTGTTTGTATCAATCTTGTGTGGTCCCATTCTGCTTTGACCTCTTGTGGGTCAGCTAAGACATAAGTTGCCAGCACTGTGCGCGGCTGTTCGCTTCTTATGTTTCTCTGGTGTTCTGACAGCCTTTCCTTGAGGGATCTTCCGGTAGCACCGATATAGAACATTTTATTCTGCTGCCGTGTATCTGTAACAGGGATTCTGTAGACTCTTGGAAGAGAGTTCTTGTCCAAGACACCTTTGTCTACCTTTTAGCAATTGGTAAATAGTAGGATTCTCAGTATTGGTAAATAGTTATGATTATCAGTTTGGTATAAAAGCAACTAAATCTTATCACCATATGATGCAATCATTGGCAAGAATGTTGTCTCCAAGTCTACAATTCATTTAGTTAATTTAAAGTTGGACAATATGAAGTCAAAGATAGGCCATGCTCAGGAAGGCCTTCCATCTTGTAAGATGATGAGCTGCAGCAGTTGATGGAAGCCAACTCATTTTTGACTATGTGGGATATGAGGAAAACACTTGGTTGTGACCAGTCCACTGTAGTTTGTCACTTATCTGCATTGGAAAGATCTGCAAGATCAAATGTCAAGGTTAACCCATCAGAAGTTGCTTGATCTCAGTGGGAGGTTCTTCTTCATCTGCCATATAGCCCAGACATTGCATCATCTGACTATCATTTCTTCAGCTCTATGCAACATTTCTTGGATGGAAAGCAATTTTCTGATGATGAGGAGATAAAAATTGCACTTGCAAAGTTCTTTGAGTCAAAACAGTCTGAGTTTTATTCAGAACATATCCATGACCTGTCCAATTAATGGAAGAAGGTACTGGAATGTAATGGCAATTATTTCTTTGAATAAACTATTTTTCATTCTTGCAATAAACATTATACTATAAAAATGGAAAAAATTTTATAAACTTTTGCATTAATCTAATATTTTTAAATTTAGAGATTTTAGATTGATTTATGCTTACTTATTATTTTAATTTATAGTTAAAAGCAAAAGAACAAAGTGCTGGAATTAAAGAAGGCCTTCCAAAAAGGTTGTTGCTTTTTGAACGTTTTCCTGACAGTCCACAGATGAGTAGATTAAATAAAACTCCATCTGAATTTAGTGTTCCAAAGGTAAAATTTTAGTGGAAATTTTATTACAAATTAGACATATTTATGACTTTATTACGTATTTAGGTAAGAGAAAGTTTTATGAAGATGTTTGTAGAAGAACAACCTGAAGAACTGCCAACAATGAAAAAAGGCGAAGAGGGAGAAACGCTCGTGACATACCGTAAACAACGTCCTTTACATCTGCTATCTTCTCCTAGTAAAATACGTAATGTTGGATGTCATCTAAAACGTTCAAATATAAACAATATATTGGTGTAAGTATAAGTAACTTTCTGATATAGAGTTGAGAAATTATAAAAGTTTAATTATTTAAAAAATTTTTAGTGATTCAAATAACCAGCGACTTTTAGTAGGAGATTCTGGACAAATTCCTATTCTGGGTAAAGGACAAAAGCAGATTCCAGGCCAAAAACCAGTTAGACTAGACAGAAGGTAGTATATTATTTTAATTTTGATATACTGATTAGTTTTATATTTGGTATCAATTTTATTTATCAGAAGTATGAGAAGATCTGTTCGTGCTGGATCTATAAAGATTAAACAGTCTTATGATCATCTTCATGAAAATGGAGAGGGTAGTACTACTAGTGCCACTCGCAATCCACATGATTTTGACATTAAGCTGTTGCAACAGAAACGTCAACAAGCAGAAATGAAAAGGTAATTATATTTTATGTAACAAAACATTTCACATAAACATTGTGACACATATAAAAACTTCTTTTTCTGTTATATACAGGAATACCCTATTTAGTGCAGTATTTGTAATGTATTTTAGAAAATTATAAATCCACATTAATTAGAGAACAGATTTAATAAAAAAAGTATTGATTGGAAGAGGATATTTTTAATTAAAAAGTAATTATAACAGCTTAATAATGAGTTATAAAATTCATAATAACTACATATGGATGAAATGAAAAGATTCTATTAAACCTTTTTATTACTTTATTTTACAATTTTTAAGTTGTTCAACATTGCTTAGATGTAATTCCTCCTTTATTTTGCATAAAGCTTTTGGTAGCACTAAATTGCAATTTGTAATGTTCTTCACCAACCAGGGAGCAAACAGTATTTTCATAAATGCTACCAATTTCATTTTTTCATTTAAGGTACTGCAAGAATTATTAATTAGTTGATAAATATTTCCATTAAAACATGTATTTAAAGATAAAAATATATATTAAGTTTACTTGCTAATTAACCTTAATGAAAAAGTTATTTTTTTTTTAATTATATGTAAACTTGATATTACTTCCCCTCTTATAGTGGGTGAACTTTATTGTCTTATGCTTGATAAATTAGTGAGTTGAGTCAAGATGTTCAACAGTACTTTATTGGGATGAATAAGATGTGATTACAACATGTCAATCTGAGCATCTCCTCACAGACTTATCCAAATCTGATATATGACAATTTTTTTTTTTTAATCATTAAAAGAGAAAATAGTCTTTAAGGTGTAAGGTGGCAGTCTGGTAGCTTGTAGCTTAATGGTATCTCAGGATTCTTCAGCTCATTCACTGATTGTTGATTGTTGTGGCCTATCCCTACTGTATTTGGATCTTATCATTGTTGCTGGTGGATGTAACTCTTTAGTTATTTCAGATGATAGTCTACTCTTTTCACAGTTTTCAACTACAGATGGTTGAATAGAAAAAGATTCATTCATATTTTTTAAAGATGTATTTTAATGAAGAAAAGTATTCTTCCATATTCCATACTAATTTTAAGTGATTTCAGTTCTTGTGTTTTGGCCAGAATTTTGCATTTCTTCCATAGTTCTGTCATACTTCCTTCCAGAACAATTATTTACTATTTGCAGGGTTTAGGGACAGATACACAGAGGGTTATAGGGGCTTAAGCTTTCCACATTGATAAAAACCCCCATTGTAATTCAAACATAAAAATGAGAAATGACAATATTTTGAATTATAAAATTTTGAAAAAATTGGTGATAGGTTGGAAAATTCAAATTTGAGAAAATATGATCCATTTTGCAGTATAAAATTAATAGTGTTTGTCTTTGTTGTAATGCTCTTTAAAAATATTAATACAAAATTTCTATTATTTTTTAGTAATAACTTTAATCTTCGTATCTTGTTTCTTTTGGAATTGCTTAAAACTCTGGATGAAGTCACATATGACTTCATTTTAACATTTTTTAAAAAACATTATATCTGAAAGTATTTTATTTATGGTCATATCAATATTTATAACAATAAAAAGCCCCTAAGAAATATATTACATAAATATGGATAGATTTTGTTTCTATAATGTTAAGTATGAAAAGACTACTGTGTAATAAATGTGTTGAATTCATAATTTTATATGACTAGTTTCTTGAGATATGATTGTTACATATAAAATTATACAGTTATCATAGGTTTGATTTGTTTTGTTGTCTCTTCCAAGTACACATGAGACCAATCTAATTCTCTTTGTTACCTTTGTTTTTAGAAATCTTCAGATATCATTAGATGCTGGTATTAACTTGTATTCACTGCATCTCTGATGGCCTTATTTCTTTTCTGCAGATTCTCTAATCCTATTTAGGTTCTCCCATTTTCTTAGCAAGGTCTATTAGAAATTGCCTCATTTGCTGTATTCCTTTTTTATATGAAGTTCAGTGTATGAGCTTTGAAAGCTGCCCTATCTTACTGAATAAAATGTCAAAGTAATGAGATTTAGTCCATGAGATCAAGATGGAAATGCACAATTAGTTACATGAAATTTATTATCTGTTGTTCGACTCTGAACTGACATTGTGAAATGGTATAAAACACTAATCATCTAGAGATACCCATAAGGAAATTGGAATATATTATAAGTTAGAGTAAAATTAAAATCTGAACTTAGAAATAAATTGTACTGTAAATCCTGTAAGAGTCTTTTCTGACTTTTTACACTCTAAATGCTGTATTTATTAGGTATATTTCACTATTTAAAAATGTGTTTGATCGTTTATAAGACATAAAAAGAATCCAGAAGAGCTCATCTAGAAGATGAAGGCTTTTGAAATAACATTACTCGTAATAATTAACTTTATATCATCGATATAAAGTTATGGTCAAGTATTCTATTCAATAAAGATGGGTCAGGAGTGGTCCGAATAGGATACAAGGGTTAAGTGTTTTTATTGTTATACAGTATTTGTTTTTAAAATTGGTTAATCATTAATACCTTATTCACATCTTTATTATCCTAATGTTTTCAAGTTTCTACAACTCATTTTCATGACATTCACAGTCAAAATAAAAAAATTACAAGGTACCACATTGCCTTCTAACACAAAATCTATTTTACTCTCTTTCTAAACTTTTTTAAAAAATAATCTTTTCTTCCAGTTATAAACCTTAATGGTTATTTTTATTACCTTCCTTTCTGTTCTTCCACTTCCATCCAGTTATTAATAATAATGACTGTGATAGTTTACAAGATGCATGGAAATGGATGATTGAGAGAAAGAACTGAAATTTCAGGTGTAAGCAGTGGAGTTTTCAGTTTTGGGAAATGATATTGAGGTTGGAGAAGGAGGACTGAAAGGAAGGTATTAAAAATTGACTGTTAGGATGTATGGTAAGAAGGAAAGGTTGCTTCTAAAAAAGCTTAAATGGCTAACAGGATAATTTTTTTTTTAGTTAGATGATGATATATGATGGGCAGATATATTAAAAGTCAAAAAATAACAATGTACTTAAATATGGTGTTAAGATTGGGAGGTCCCATCTTGTCTGGTCACTTGATTTGTTTGATATACTTAGCTGGACCTAACTTAATTAATCATTAAGCTTGGCAAAACAATGTTTCATCTACTTTTATGGCTCCAAAAACTTCTCCGGTCTTAAAGCATACACAGAGAATAGTGACAGTAACTTAGAGCATAAGTTTGACTTATGCTCTAAGTTACTGTCATAACTTAGATTGGATTGTCTGGTGGCCAAGAGTTTGAATGTAAGGGAGCAAAGCAACAAAATTTGCAGAGGAATGAAATTTTGAATGGTCTGAGAGACAAGTTGAGTCAGGAATTTTTGTCTAGTTAATTTCTCATGCTATTCACAATTATTGCAATCCTTTGACAACAAAACAGCTTTATTTCTAACTAAAAGGGTTTAATTAACAAGCTCTACATTAAAGGTAAGCACACCTCGTGCTTCAATCAACGCCACCTAACAGAGATGATTTTTTATTAATTAAGATGTATCCGCAGTTTTCCCGTAGCCAAATTATAGCCACGACAGATTCCCCGCCTAATTTGGCCAGGGATTGGGTGCGGCGGATTCACATATACAAAAAATCGTCTTTGACAAACAGATTTAACTTTGGTCGACTTAACGGTTTTGTGAAGGCGTCGGCTACGTTTTCTTCGGTTTTTATATATTTAAGTTGAAATGTTCCTTCTTCCATCTGTTGACTTAGATATGATGCCAGTCTGATTAAATGATTCGAGTTGTTACTCATGTAGCCTGATTTCGCTATGGAAATCGCAGATTGGTTGTCGCATAGAAGTTGGATTGTTTCGAGTTTTCCAAACAGTTCTTCTAGAAAGAATTTTATCCAAATCCCTTTTTTAGCACAGCTTCCTAGTGCGAATAGTTCTGCGTTGCAAGTTGAGAGAGGGGTGATGGGTTGTTGCTTCGAGGTCCAACTTAATATGTTCTTTCCTATTGAGTAAACGTGTCCTGTTATACTCTTTTCTGGAGGGGTTCTCCAGCTGGCGTCAGAAAGGCCCCTGACATCTAGTCTGTCTGGTGTGTAGCGCAGTCCTGTCGATTGTGTTCCCTTCAGATATCTGAGTATGCCCTTTAATGCAGTCAGGTGAATAATTCTAGGGTCATTGGTATATTTGGAGAGCAGGGTTACTGCACACGCTATATCGGGTCTTGTGTGCGTTGCCAGGAACATCAACGAGCCTAGCATTTCCTGATATAACTTCTGATCGCACGGTTTTGAGTCGTTATATTTTTCTAGTTTAACGTCGGGATCGAGCGGAGTACTTCTCGGCTTACAGTCTTGCATTGTGTACTTCTCTAATATGTATTTAACGTAATTTTGCTGTTTGATCAGTATCTCTCCCTTTCCTTTTATTATTTCCATGCCTAAAATATTCTTCGTGTCTGGACTTTCTTTGATCTTGAATTTTCTTCGAAGTTTTCTTAGTAGCTCCTCTAAGATTTTCCTGTCAGTAGATATAGTTATTATGTCATCTACGTGGATTCCTAAGATAACTTTTCTAGTTCCTCGTTTATAGATGTACACACACTTGTCAGATTGGAAGTTCTTTGTGCCGATCTCTATTAGGTATTTGTTAAGTGTTTGATACCAGATTCGGCCACTCTGCTTTAATCCATATATAGCTTGATTCAACTTGCATACTTGCCTTTGGTTTTTCGTATTTTCTACGTATCCCTTGGGTTGTTCCATATATATTGTTTCATTTAGCCTTCCGTACAGATATGCCGTTTCTATGTCTAGGTGGTTGATGTCATAGTTGTGTATAGCAGCGTATATTAAAAGTCCTCTTAGGCTGTTGGCTTTTATGACAGGTGAGAACGTTTCGTGGAAGTCTATCCCATATTTTTGGGAGCAACCTGTGGCTACCAGTCTGGACTTGTATTTTGTGCATGAGGTCACAGGGTCGTGTTTGAGGTTGTATACCCACTTGCATTTTATGGGTTTTATTCCCTCTGGAAGGATTACAGTTTCCCATACATTATGAGCCTTTAACGATTGCATCTCCTTTTGCATGGCTTCAATCCATTTGTCCTTGTCCGGTAGGTTCAATGCTTCCTCATAGCTGTTTGGGATTATGAGTTTGCTCTCTGATATCAGGACTCTGTTGTACGGTCGATATGTTGGATCGTTTGTGTCTTCCGGTACGTCTTCTTCGACATCGGAGTCACTTAGAGGTGGTTCGTAATAGAAATTTAGAGGTGGTCTGGGTCTTTTTTCTTCTATTGGAGAGAGATTTTCCTCTGTAGGTTCATTTAGGTCGTAGCCTGTCTCGATTTCGTTATCGGAATTTGTGACTTCTGTATCCTCTATATCCTGAGCTGTAGGAGTTGAATCAGTGTACTCTCTCTCTATATCGACTAGGGTATAGTCCTGCGTTGGATTTGCTTGATTTTGGAGGTCTTTGCCTCTTTGGTTTTCTAGGAATTTTACATCACGTGACTCGATTACAGTCATAGTGGTAGGGTCGAATATTCGGTACGCTTTCCTACAGGATGAGTATCCCACAAAGATTCCTAGTTCCGCCTTTGAGTCAAGTTTACTTCGCCTCATTTTGGGAATCCAATAATATGCCTTACAGCCGAATACCTTTAGATGTCCTATAGTGGGTTTTCTTCCGGAGAACAATTCCTCGGGGGTCCTTTTCATGTCATTCTGGGTGGGTGTCCGGTTACGTACATAAGTGAAGCAGTTCATTGCCTCAGCCCAGAAGTTTTTTGGCAGTTCCGCTTCTATCAGTAACGCTGTAGTACCCTCGATAAGAGTTCTGTTAGCCTTTTCTGCCACTCCGTTTTGAGCAGGGGAGTAGTAATTAGTCAGTTGATGGTTAATACCCTTGTCGTTTAAAAATGTCCTTAGGTTTTCGTTAAGGAATTCTCCGCCGTTATCAGATCTGATTTGTTTGACCTTTCTCGAAGTTGTGTTTTCGACGTTTTTTACGAAGTCTATGATTGCTTCCGCTGTTTCGGATTTGGCCCTTATGAATTTGGTGAAAAGTTTTCTTGAGTAGTCGTCCACGATGGTAAGTACATACTTTGCTCCTCCCATCGATTCGACTCTGAAGGGTCCGACCAAGTCAAGATGTAGGAGATCGAGAGGATTCTTTGATTGTTTTGTGAGCACCGGTTTAAAGGGCTTCCTGGTGAACTTCGCTCTAATGCAGGTATCGCATACAGGCGTGTTGGATCGAGGTGTGAGTGGGAATTTGTGTACCATCTCGTTCTTGGCTAAAATGTTCATGTACTTTCCATTGATATGGCAGAGTCGTTTATGCCAGATCTCCCAGTCATTATGGTGGGATTTCATACTGTATTCATGGTTGGTGGTCCCGTGTCTAACAGTGTATAGGTCTCTCCACTTGCTGCCCAACATGATGACATTTCCTCTTTCGTCAAGCATTTTACAGTTCTTGGCGTCGAAGATTATCTTGATCCCCCTTTTTGCCAGTTTAGTTACGGAAATTAAGTTGTTGCTTAGATCTGGGGTATATAGTACGTCTTCGAGGAGTAATCTATTAGAGTCTTCGTCTCTTATTTCTGTGATTCCTATGCCTTCTGAGTGTATGACATTATTATCGGCCATAGTGATTGTTTTTGTATCTTCTCTCATGTTCTCTAACCATTGGCGATTTGGAGTCATGTGGCTGGTCGCCCCACTATCTATGATCCAGCATGTATCTGGCTCTCCATTTGTACTTAAAGTCATTACTCTCTGTCTGTTGTTACCCTCGTTAGTTGGTTTCTCTTTTCTCTGTCGGTTATCGTTCACTCTAGCTGAGTTTTCCCAAGCTATTTTAGAAGTTTTGAAGTTTGATCTTCGGTTGTCGAGATCGATGTTGTCCCGTTTGTCTCTATTCCTTGCTTTGTTAATCGGGTTCAACCAGCATTCAATTGCCTTGTGATTTGGTTTACGGCAGATGTAGCATAGCGTTTCCCTCGTTCGAGATTTTCTTTGTGCATTGTCCTTTGGAGTTTTATAATTCGGTGGGTGATACGCTCTGTAGGCTGTGAGGTTTTCCCTCTGTTCGAGCCCATTTCTTTCTTCATATCTCTCGAAGGTTTTTCTCACGTCGGAGATCTTGGGGTCTTTTAGGTTGTCGAATTGCATGGCTATTAGGTTGTACTTTTGTGGTAAACCTCTCAATAGCGCGGTGATGAATTCGTCGTCCTCTATTTGGGCTCCCATTATCCTAGCACTCTCTAGAAGTTTTTCTCCTCTTAATAGATAATCTCTCCATGTCTCGTCACGATTCATTACTAATCTCGCCACATTGTTTCTGGCCTCTATCGCTTGTTTCCTTAAGTCCCCTTCATATCTTTCTCTCAAGTGGGTCCAAATCTGTTTTGTCGTTTTACACGTTAAGATAAGCGCCACTTGTGTGTCGTCCATCGCACATGTTAAAATGCCTCTAGCCTGGGAGTCCGTTTTTTTCCATTTCGCCTCTTCGGCGGGATCCGTAGGTGGGTCGTCTATTAACAGATTTCCTAGATCTCTACTTTCTAGGATGGCCATTATACGGTACTTCCAACTTGTGAAATTGCTACCCGTAAACTTCGGTAGCTGTCCATGTCCTATTTCGGCCATTCTATTCGTTATAACGGTTCGGTTTCTAAGATAGCAAATTTAGGCTTACCGTGGTCGATCGTTCAATCCAGTTGCATCAACGTTGGAATTTTCTTCCTGGGCCCATATCCCTTTGTCGAGTTAATTTCTCGTGCTATTCACAATTATTGCAATCCTTTGACAACAAAACAGCTTTATTTCTAACTAAAAGGGTTTAATTAACAAGCTCTACATTAAAGGTAAGCACACCTCGTGCTTTAATCAACGCCACCTAACACTTTTTATTAATTAAGATGTATCCGCAGTTTTCCCGCAGCCAAATTATAGCCACGACAATTTTGAGGGGTAACTAGCATTTGTATATATAAAGTAAAAATAGTTGTTGGATAACAGATTTTATTCATATTTGAATGTTAGCTGAAGCTGTTCTTATGTAAAAATGAAAGCATTTATAATAAAATATTTGCTTCAGTATCCTATGATAAGCACTTCTCTTAACTGTCAGTACACATACATTTTGAATCTGAAACTGCTAGGGTAATAAAGATGTGAATTTCAGAAAACCAGTTTTGGGTGAATAAGTTGATAAGGGAGTTATTTTGTGTTAAAGAATTAAATGAATATTTTTATCACCTTTTAATTAATATACACATTTTATTTATTAAATTTTTTGTGTTATTTAGAAACCAAAGAGAAGAAGATCTGAGAGAAAATCATCCATTTTTTGACAATCCTCTTTTTGTCGTTGGACGAGAAAGTAAATTTCGTAAATTGTGTCAATCAATAGTATATGCAAGATATAATCCTTGTGTCAGAGATCCTATTACGGGGAAAGAAAAAAAAATAAAATATAAAGGCTTACAGTAAGTATTTGTCATTTAGATAAAATAATGTTTACCATATTGATATTATATAATTAGAACAAATGACAAAAAAATTGTTATCTGAATTTAGGAATAGCTTATAATACTAATAACAATTTTTCAATACATTAGCATTCCAGTAAAATATAATTTATTTTTGTTGTTATTATTAGGAAAGTTCTTTATCTGACAATGAGGCAAAAATTCAACAAATACTTTATATTTACAGGCAAAAACTTAAGTGTAATATATTGTTAATATCTTCTAAGATATATAAATTTTAACGTAACTGTATTTTTTTTTACCTTATAAGATACACTTTACAAATATACGAGCTCTAAGACGGCTTTTCTTTTTCACTAGACTTATTACACCATCAATGAAATGGAAAACAAACTTTAGAAAAATTTTTTATTTATTTGAGAATGCATTTCGGATAATTCTATCCCTTTTCAACTCGTGTTACAACTATGCAGGAAAAATTAGCATAACGGGTACAAATTAGTAAAAAATTTTTTACAATAATGTTATAAAATTGTAAAAGAACATACATGAGACTTACATGGACTATGAGAAACGCAGGAGTTGTGACATTAGAAAAAATATGGATGNCATATTTTTGGAGCCTCGAAGAAAGATATTCGTGGCAATCAATTTGCTTCGGACGAAAAGATGCACGCCTGGGTACAATCATGGTTCTATAGGCAACCGTAAACATTTTTCTATGAAGGCATTGACCATCTTGTCTCACAGTGGGATAAATGTATTAACAGTTACGGCGATTACTTTTGAAATAATAAACAGTTTACTTACTTTTTTCCCATCTGTCTCGTTTTCATTTGACTGACCCTAATAAGAAAATACTGTATATTAATTGTTATAATTGTTATGAATTTAATATATATGTGTGTTTTTTATTTAAAATTGTAATATTTATGACTATTTGTGTAATAAGTCTAGTGAAAAAGAAAAGCCGTCTTAGAGCTCGTATATTTGTACACAAGACTAGACAAGAAGCATATCGCATAAGATACACTTTGTTGTAGCTGAACTTTATCAGAAATTAGGGTGTCTTATAATGTGAAGAATATTCCCCCCAAAAAAAACATGAAAAATATGATGTGTTCTATACAATGGTGCATCTCATAAGGTGAAAAATATGATAACTTGCAGGTTCTCATAATTTAAAAATTAATGATTAATAAAATAAATTGTTACAGTAATCTCCTTGGATTAGTTACCTACTTGGACTGGGTGATGATTCTTATAACTACATTATCATGTATATCTATGATGTTTGAAACACCATGCCGACGGGTTATGAACACATCTCTCTTACAGGTTTGTAATTCATTAATACAAAAAAAAAAAAAAATAGAATGTATATTTATGTGAAAGGAAAATTACTAATTATATGTTTTTTTCCTTTTGTTGAAACTGTGTCTTTATTTTTAATGTCTGTTATATTTCACAATAAAAGAAAGAAAGAACTGGGAAAAGAATATGAAAGAATGATTGCAAGGATATTGGCAAATGTAAGATTGATTTTAATGTAAAAACCAAAGCAAATGATTGTGTAAGCCATGGGTGAGCAATCTGTGGCTTGATTAATATTTTGTGCAGCCCACATTGCACAAAATATTAATAAATATATCAATTCCTCAATTTAAGAAAGTATGCAGCAAAATTTCTATCATTATTTTCCACAACTTGCAAGAGGACCTTACGGTCTCGGAAATTCAGCTTGGGATGAGACTTTGCAGGTTAGTAGTATACCACAAGGGTATACCCAGAAAAATTGTAAAGTGCACTAGCCAGAAGATTCCGAGAAAAAGGACTCTAAAATTTTAAGTGCAGCTTATATACTGGTTGATTTTACACTATGGCAGCACAGCGAAATGGTTTATACTATAGAGAACTTGCTTGCCACGTGCGTGATCTAGTTTCAATCCTAGGATGGCCATTATACGGTACTTCCAACTTGTGAAATTGCTACCCGTAAACTTCGGTAACTGTCCATGTCCTATTTCGGCCATTCTATTCGTTATAACGGTTCGGTTTCTAAGATAGCAAATTTAGGCTTACCGTGGTCGATCGTTCAATCCGGTTGCATCGACGTTGGAATTTTCTTCCTGGGCCCATAACCCTTTGTTGAGTTAATTTCTCATGCTATTCACAATTAATGCAATCCTTTGACAACAAAACAGCTTTATTTCTAACTAAAAG